TGGTGAATTTGGATTCAGTGTACCGCAAGGTCCATGTACATATTTTTCGTCACAACTTCATGCAAATCCTTATCGACGTCTGCGTCAGGTATTTCAGCGCATATTACATCGTCGATTTCGTTTGATGTGATTTTGTTATAGAACCAGATTAGTATATGTGCATGTGGCAATCCTCTCTTTTTGCCATTCCACTGAGTACATTCAGCAGTGCACAGACCCAAACACTTCATGTTTTACCATGAAATCCATCAGTAATTTCAGCTTCTGTCTGAAAACACGTGCTGTGATGTCATGCCTATCCACCGGCGATTGCCCAGGAAGTAAGAGCTGTTGTATATCGTCCCAAGCTGGGTTTGCATGTGAATGTAATGAATAGGTCTGGACACCCGTAGTGACGAACATACGCAATTGCATCTTGAGTGTATTTATGCATATGATGTGGACTGCCTGTATATGAAGATGGCAAAATCGTTAGTCTTCCAACGTTAGTTGTATTACGTCATTTACAACTGCATCTCGCAAATGAACGTATTCTTCAGAGCGAAGCTTGATCTGATTCAAACGGATGAATATCAAATGTTCTGTTTCGATTTTTGCATACATATCTAAGATGTATTGGTGAATCCATTGACGGCATTTCAAAATGTGATTGTCTTCATTCTCTCGAATCATTAATCGGTATGAATAATAGTTCATTGCGCTGCATTTCATATTTGTTTCTTCGCCACTGACTCGATTTATCATGTTAACGTTGAAGTGATATCTATTGGCACCATCCCAAAAAATTATTGGATATTGCAGGGCATCGTAGCATCGATGAGTTTCTGCAACTTTTGTCAATTGATCGTTTCTCCGATGAAGAACAATATCTCTAGGTTGGAATTGATCTCCGACTATAACAATTGCCACTTCGTCTATAGTTGGAGCATTGAATCTTCGCACATGTTCTCCAGCAGGCGTTTTGTCAGCGTGAATAACAATCTTGTGTGTATCAGATGGCATCATGTCAATTGCTGTTTTGAACAAACGCACTAAATTGTTTTTTCGTGAAGAAGCTCTTGCAGTTGGGAAACGATGGACCTTTTTATGCCGGTAGAAATTCCGCAGCGTGCATTCAATTCATCATTGCCATCACCGATGAAATACATTTGTAGGAATTTATGTTGACCATCTGGGAACGGAAGCAGGGAGCTGGCTTTGTGATAAATTTGTCATTTCACTTTGAAAGTTGGCATGAATTGAGCTGTTACGATTTCTGCGCCGAACGACGTCATTTGGAAGCATGAGTTGTATTTCCTGATGTTAAATAAAAAATACTAACGAAATATTTCAATTCAAACGCAGATCAATCGACACAGCTCAATTCCACCGCCAATTGCACTGAAAAATAAGAAAAACAGTTAAAAAAACGAAATGAAAAACAATGAAAAAATAAAAAAATTAACTATACTCACGAAATGAACGCTATAGTAAACGACACAGCTCAATTCCAACGCAATGTCACACGAAATCATGAAATCAAAATGAAAATAAATCAAAATCTATGAAAATTCAATTTAACAATGCGATCGGAAACATTGAAATGGAATCGTAAAATTGGAAATTTGGAAATCGTAAATGGATCGTAAATCGGAAACATTGAAATGGAATCGTAAAATATTTAGTATAGCGTGTGTTGCTTTTACGTTCAACAGATGGCGCTGTTTTTCAAAAAAAGCATGTTTTTCACCTGTGATCACAGGTGTGACATTTATATAATAGTAGGTATATAAAAACACGCGCGTATCCGAATGCAACGTTGTGTCAAAATTTCAAAGCAATCGGTGAAGAACTTTCGGAGATTTAAGATTTTGAACAAACGAACATTTACATTTTTATTTATATAGATTTATAACTAATATTGGGAGAAATAAATATAACTTATGTGAGTTCTAATTATGTCTTTTTGTTTCTCGTGTAAACGCCCTTTTGTTAGTGATCTGTGTATAAACTAACGACTGTCTGGTCTCTTCCTGGTATTTTAAATTAATGTTTTGTAACGATTTTTTTACTCTTCAAACCACCTGTACAAATATAAACACATCACACAAAACCGAGGGTCGAGTCTCTAGAGCATACTTTTCGTTCTTCAATCAGTTGAATTTCTGTGGCTAGTACATAAGTGTCTAAATATCCATGTCGTGCATTTCGATTCAGGGTTTAGAATATTATTTATTATTGATTGACACTATTTACTACAGTTTTAATCAATATGCTATATTTTCTTAGACCTCTTTTTAATATCATTTACAAACATATTCCATTTTGAATAACGTATAATATACATCATAAAAACTGATAGATATTATGCATATTATATACATATATCATATCTATCAGTTTTTTTTATAAGTGTGTCCTTTTTAACATTTTTAAAGCATGTTTACACCATCTTCATTTTTAATTTTACTAAAATTAAAAGTGTTACTTTTGGAGTTATTTCCTATTTTAGCTTATTGTTTACAATAAGTTAGGTGGCGGAATCTATCCTGTAAATCCCGTAGTAGAAGTTGCTTAAGAGTATTTTGTTAGTAGAAAAAATAATTTTAATGTAGAACAAAATCACTCATATTAAACAGCTTCTATTTTCGTTCTTGCATTTCTCATATGCCTCTCTGTAAAAGCTTAACAGAACGTTACTGAGCCACTGCAAAATGTAATCTGAGTTACGAATCCTCCTACAATAATTTAGCGCGTCCAGGTTGCCTGGCAACAGGATGATATCTGAAAGCATGCCAGAAACATTGACTCGTTATGAGGCTCACCTATGGAGCTAAAGAATGAGTGCACAGCAACAGAGTCTCACAGAACTCTTGGAAGGAGAGACAGAGTAACGTCGCAGGTCCATATAGTGCGTTTCAGCAGCATCTGTTCTCCCACTGCTGATAGTATTCGTTGGCTTAACAGTTAGACCGAAAGAATTTAACCTATATCAGAAAAGGAAACATTCACACTAACTTTGAGGAAAAGCATTACAGTAGATATAGAAACGTTTTTGTAAAGATGGTCCATTCGTGTTACTTCTGAAATTTTTAGCTAGCTGATTTCAGTGATAAGATTTTTAGTAACCTAGTGCTTTACCGTCAAATTTGTAAACATTATAACTTTTATAATCTCTCACCTGTCTTATTTTGACAAAGAATAAAACTAGAATTTAAGTACCAGAAAACTTACAAAACTGATTTCAATTCGAAGGGTACACAATTATACAAATGTTTGTAAACTGCTGGTAAAAACGTCGAACAAAGTAGAAAGTTTACTTCATCGATCATAACGGTATTCCAGGTAAGATACGTACGTAAGTGTCTTTTTTTTATTTTCTTTAAAACCGAGGGTGGTCTGTTTAAAGTTCATAAAAAATATTAATTTGAATATGATATTTTTTTGTTGATCAATATCTTTATTTCTTATTAAAGTAAGTTAAATTTGTAATCGTATAAATAGATAGACTAAACAGTTTCTGAACGCGGACATTCATACTGCGTAGTTTCTACAATTAACTGGTATTTACCATAACTTAATTATTTTAACACATACGATTTGTGAAGGAACTGTTTCATTTGAAATGAAATATTAGGCTAACATAGCCATAATGGCTAAGTTCAAGTTCTTATAACTGCACTTATTTTATTCCTTTTTTTTACTTTATCTAAAACTACCCAGTAATCTAGTCCTGAGATTTAATCTTAATTCCAAACTGTTGATATGAGGCATTTCTCTAATTAAGAGGTGAATAAATAATTTTTCTCAGAAACTTGCAAGTTACACTAAAAAAAAAAAGTCACAATTCATGTCAGAAATATAAACAAATTTTAGACACTCGCTTGAAGTTTCTTTCAAAACTAATTTATGCAGTTAGTATAACTTTTCAGTTTGAAGTTTATAATTTGTAATCTTATGTGTGTGTAGCGAATAAACATTTATGAAACATATAACATACAGAAAATTGTTACGGATGTTGTTTTTATTTGACTTTCAACGTCTAATCACTTTCGGCTGTTGCCAAAAATGCCAATCGGTTTCACTATGGCTGTTTCCTAGAAGTTGAAAAAGATAAAAACCATTAAAGCCCAGGCCCAGCACCAGATTTTCTGGTGGAACAACTTATAATGATGACCCTTAAATCTCAGTTCAGTTTGACATGAATTGTAAAAAGGACAGTATATTGAAAAAATAAAACAACTTGTGTGCGGAAATTCAATAATACGTTAAAAAGTACGAATACTGGGGAAGTTTAAACCAGCAATTAAACTTCTAGAAATCACTCTTATTATTCAAAATTACCAGTAAAGAATCACATAAAAAATCTTCCAAAAGTGGTTTAAAGATGTTTTACGATGTCTTACAGATACTTAGCAATCATGTTATAATACTTTCCATAGTGATATCATTAAACAGCTGCGGCCATAAACTTGTATATGCTTATTGATTTATGGGTGAGAGAGTGATCTTTATATGTAATTTTGTACAATACCTGAGCTTTGTAACTTACCTAAATTACCCCTTTCGAACTTGGCTAAAAAAACGCTATATGATTAGTTTCTTTGTATTAGATAAAAATATTGATTTATCTATTTGCGTTTGTTGTTTTTTTTAGCACATAACTACACAATGGACTATCTGTGCTGTGTCCACCATAGGTATCGAAACCCGGTTTTGGGCGTTATAAGCCTTCAGACTTGCCGCTGAGCCACTGAGGAGCTTGTCTATTTGCCATTTTGTGTAATAGAACTAACATAGTATAATTGAAAAGATCACTAAGTTACATTATTTTTATAGAAAAGATCACTAAATTGCATTGTTCTTGAGCGAAAATATCACTAAGTTACATTGTTCTTGAGGAAAAGATCACTAATTTACATTGTTCTTGAGGAAAAGATCACTAATTTACATCGTTCTTGAGGGAAAAGTTACTATGGTCTTTAAAACATATCACAGTATCAAGTTTGCTCTTCAGATCTTTATTATGAAGCAGTCTCGTTTCCCACACGAGTCACAAAACCACTACTGTATGTTTTATTCAGACTATTTTTTATTATTTTAATGTGTAACAGTAATGCTTTGTTAAGTTTAGGATGAGTAACCAAAACGGCACATTTAAATGGCTAAAATCGCTGTTGTTTTAGTTTCGTCACAAAATAACATTATATTTTAGACAAGTAACAAAAATGTTGCATATAAGTGACTAAAATCGCAGGTGTTTTAGTTGTGCCAGAAAATAACATGATATTTATTTGATTTGCAAGACTGAAATGATATGTTTTCGTTCTCTAAACGATCCATAAGTTAATCATGAAAGCTATGATAGTCTCATTGCTACTTTAGTATCTATTTGTCAACATGAATAATACTCATAAGTTGTTTATGGCAGCAATGAGACTATGATAGCTATGACAGTCTCATTGCTACTTTAGTATCTATTTGTCAACATGAATAATACTCATAAGTTGTTTATGGTAGCAATGAGACTATGATAGCTATGACAGTCTCATTGCTACTTTAGTATCCATTTGTCAACATGAATAATACTCATAAGTTAATTAGTTCACCTGAATGACAAGAGGAAAGGCAAACAGATGGCAGGGACCGCCACATGAAGAGTCCGCTCTTAACCGAATAGCGGGACTGACTTTTACTCTTATAACCCACCAACAGCTGAAAGTGCAAATAGTTTTTGGTAAAGCACCGCGTCTCAAACCCTAAACTCTACCATAACATTAGGCCATGATCAAGCCATAATGCATAAGTCGAGAAACTTAACTTATGTTATACTTTATTTTACTATTTATTCTGCTATGTTTTAATAGACGGAAAAGGTCGTTATCTTAAACATAACTAGAGTAATATGATTTACTGTGTATTTTAGTAGAGTGTGAATTTGCTATGCTGTTTGTTTTTCAGGTATGTTCATCCTTATGCTACGTTTTTGTCGAGTTAGAAAATTGTTATTTTAATCAGTCACAAGATAACTATTTTGTGTCTCAGTGATGCGTCAAAATATATTTACATAACCAAACTGATGCACTTCTTATCAAAGTTGAGCAACAGGGTCTCTAAACTGGGCTTTTGTTTTGTGACAAAATAGATAATATGCATTTTAGTAGAGTGACAAGATCACTAAGTTACACTATTCTTGAGGAAAAGATCACTAAGTTACATTATTTTATGAAAAAGATCACTAAATTGCATTGTTCTTGAGGAAAAATTTACTATTTACGTTTTAGTCGATTGACAGTGTCGTTAATCCATGTTCTAAGTCGAGTGAGAAGGTCGTTAATCTGTGTTTTAGTAGAGTGAGAAGCTCGTTAATCCGTGTTTTAATCGAAAGGCGGGATCGTACTGTTCCAGTCGAATGTTAAAATAATATCTGCACTGTTTTTTTAGTGTACAGATCAAATTACTGTTATGTCTTAATCAACTGAAATGCTTGCCAAGCCACATGATATAATCAAGTGACACATAGCTAAAATAAGATTAAGCCGAGGGAGAAATAGCTGCTTTAAATGTTACTCACCCAAGAAGCCCATCAAATATAAATGCTTCAATCGTGAAGCAAGAGATTTATGACATGTTCTAGTTGAGCGAAAATATCGTCGTAAGATACACGTATACAGTGACAAGATTCTTATGACTTGTGATCTAGGAACAACATTTTTATAACATGTTTTGTCCAAGTTAATATTTTCTGTTCTGCTGATAAAATATTCAATCGTGTGTTTGGGGTTAAAAGTATAACAAAAGCGTTGAATACACTTACGGATTATGAGTGTATGTATATATTTTACACACACACTTGACGCAAGACTACAATGTTCGATTCACTCAATATGGACTAGCGTAAGTACCCTGAACCTGGATAAATGATAATAAAGGTATAAATTGACAAGTCTAAATAAAAAAATTTCGAAATATATTTTCTGCGACGTTTCGAGCAGACGCCCTTCATCAGGCAGTAAAGATCGTGTTACAATGGAATTAGGCCCTGAACCTGTTATTTCAATATATAAACCGTTCTATACGTGCATCTAGATAATAGTTAGTGGGTAGCTTATTGGCTGCATATCGGATGGTTCAAGGTTCCAGATAGCGATGTGGACTGTACACTTCCGATTGTGGGAGTATCATACAAGAGGTAGTCTGTTTTGAATTTCGCGCAAAGCTACACGAGGGCTATCTGTGTTAGCCGTCCCTAATTCAACAGCGAAAGGCTAGAGGAAAGGCAGTTAGTCATCACCGCCAACTCTTGGGCTACTCTTTTACAAACGAATAGTGGGATTGACCGTCATATTATGACGCCCCCATGGCTGAAGGGCGAACATGTTTGGTCAAGTGGTAGTCAAACTCAGTATTCGGGTAAAAAGAGATTTTTAGATAGAAGGTGTTGCTGATTGGCTGTCCTCCCTCTGCTTAGCAGCTGAAAATTAAAGATGGTCATTCCTGATCCTTGGAGTTCCTGACCTGACCGTTTAGCCCATGTATTGCACAAGGTGCCGCTCAAGTAGAAAATACCAAATACCTGAACGTGTAATTACGTGATATTCGTTTTACACACACACACGCATATATATAGCAATGAAAAAACTTCAAAATAATCAGTTGGCAGGGCGTCGCCTAGTTTTTAGCGTATCAACTTTAATCGAAGTTCAAACTCAAAGTCAAAAACGGTTTATTCCCCTGTGACCACATTAATAACTTCAGTATGCCTTAGAATCACATACTGCACACGTGTAGTTAAGGTTTCCGAGTTATTGGGGACACATTAGCTAGAAGAAATGTCTAGTTGGTTTGCATTTTATGACAATTGCTATGTCGACAGCACATTGTTATTTTTCAGTTACAAGAATAAATTGATTAATTTATTTGTGATATTTTTATAGTAAACGTTCTAATATAATATTTACTGTGGAATATGTATATAAATTAAAATGAATTTTTCTGTCCATTTTATTTCATAACTAAGAACGCAACTTGTAAGTGAGTATCATATACGTGTTATATCTCATTCTGATCTATGTTACTATAAAAAAAAAGTTCAAAAAGTTAGAATTTGATAACTCACGTTTGCGTAAGCCACCCAGTGGCACAGCGGTATGTCTGCGGACTTACAACGACAGAATCCGGGAGGGCAGGGCACAGATAACCCATTGTGTAGCTTTGTGCTTAATTACAAACAAACAAACGTTTGCTTAATGAACGCAACATCCATTTCACTTTCATTATTATTCAAGAAACTTTCAACAAGGTTTACATCTCTTGAACATTTACAGTTTAGTGTTAAGAAACCTGTAGTTAGAATAACCACACACACAAATTCGATGACGAGGAACGCACTTTGAGACTAATAGTGGTTCGAGATGGCTTAAATGGGTAATGAAGAAAGACTTTAATATAAGTTTAACACAACCGCAAATGTACAACGTTTCGACAAGGTTTTGTCATCATCAGGTAATGTTTTAAACATGTTAAGAACAAAAAACAACCACTCTTCTAGCCAGAATATTTCCACAAGTACAACCTCGATAGAATATTAATCCTGTTTTGAAATAGAAATGTATTTTATTTTAAGAAAGTTCTTCTTAAAAAGAAGCGGTTGTTCTTATTGTTAAAAAGCTTTTGTAGTTTTGTTGCGTGAATAAATATCACGTGAAGCCCACCACCAGGTGGTTACCGACTCACATAAACGCGCGTGTGTGTGTATTTTAGGGCAAAGCCACATTTGGCTATCTGTCGTGTCTACCGCTGGGAATCGAACCCCGTATTTTTGCGTTGTAAGTTAATAAACTTACGTTTACTCCCTGGAGGACCATAGAAAAAGAACAGGCGCTAATAAAACCAATGAATGCATTGGGTATTGCTCAACACGAACATAATTATATTAATATGATGGCATGTCGTTAATAACATGGTAACTTCAATATTCTTAATAGAGCTGAGACGAACTGTGGTTAATAAAAATCTGGTAATTGCATTTTTGAATTTAGTTTTCAACAAACTAAAGTGTTTTTTTTTTTCAAAGTTCGTAATATTTTCACTCTTGTGCTTATCAAGGCACTTAGCTACTTGTACTAATATACACATTAACGTTTCGTTATATTGAGTCAAGGGTAGCTTATAGGGTAAATCATAGCTACCATTACTGCTCTGCACTTTAAAATAGTTATGACTAGTGTATTTGCTCAAAACAGACTGCAAGAGTTAGAATGAAGATATTTTCGTTAACTAAGCCTGATTCTTCAACAAAAAGCTTCTTGCATAGGCAAGGTTCAGTCAAATCAGGATACGGCACCTGAACAACATTTCTTTCTATGCGATACCCACATATTACATAATGAACACGAGTAAGTAAGTCAGATGAAAGCATCAAGAAAGCAATTTTGTAATTTCTAGATATCTACCAAGGATATTAAACTATTCCCATATGACATTTTGACAGATCTTATAATAATGCAGTTGAGAACGAAACATTTTTGAATTTTCATTACTCATTTCTAGTGAGAAAAAAATAAGACAAGACTTTATCTATCTTATGTTTTGGCTCCTTCTTGTAAGTTAGGCCGGTTTTAAAAATAACAACCCTCACCAATCAACTTGGACTAGACAAATCTCAAGACAAAACTGTTTGGAGTTTTGATCAATATTTGTATGGTTCTTTTTCATTACTATAACGTAAATGTTAGATAATTGATTTTAACAATTCTTTTCATTTCAAAAATCTTCCATTTTTAGCTTACATGTAGCAGCATTCCTCGAAAGCAATTAAACATGGAATAATTTGCCGACAAGGTAAGATAACTTTTTTATTTGCTTCCTTTTGATCACCACGAATTGGAGAAAAACGTCAGCGAATCTTGCAGATAATAAATAAAGCTGAAGATGGTCCACAGTACGAAAGTCCTCTATCTTTTAGCTACACCCCGAAATAAATGATTGTTTCCTTGAGAAAGATAGCTGACGAAACTGGAATCACAACAATCCCATTAGATCAGTAATATACCAAGTCCTTCAGTACAGCTCCAATAGACTTGTGCGCCCTTGGACTGTTTAAGCATGATCTTAGAAGTCTACATATACGTACAACGGAGAGTCTGGAAAGTTTGTCAGGATGTGTGGTCTAGCACTAAACTCGCCATCTTTTGCAGAAGTTAATTATGATTAAAAATGGGGGGTCATTAAACTGAGCACGATGATGGAGGAAATAGTTCCAAGGGCAGCACGATACCTGGGACATCTTTCTTATAAAGTACTATTAACTTCATTATAACGGAAGCAAATCAATTCTAATAATTAAGTATAATGATTAATTAATGGGGAACTTTATAAATTATATTAGCAATAGTGACATGTTCAGGATAACCTGGCTTCGGAGCATGCAAGTGCTAGTGGTACTTGACCAAATAGATATTTCAAAGGACATATTAGAAAGAAATATTGTAATAAACTGGGAAAACAATCTCTCTCCCCCCCCCAGTTCTTAAAAGAATCATTAACTTTAAAACGGCATTTTAATGGTATTTTGATAATGAAAACTTAAATTTTGAGATCGGGCAACAAGGAATCCCCCTAGATACCCTACTGTGTAAGGATAGTATTGTCTAAGCCATGAGGGTAAGAGCTGTATTATCTAAGTCACTACAGTAAGGGCTGTATTATTTAAGCTATGTGAGTAAGAACTGTATTGTGTAAGCCATGAGAGTAAAAGCTGTATTATCTAAGTCACTACACTAACGGCTTTGTTATCTAAGCCACGACAGCAGTTTGCTTGTTATTCGGACTCAATCTTGGTGACTTAAATATTCCCATTATGAACATTGGAGGACCTTTTTAATGTTCTATCTATTTAGGTTTCTGCTTTCAAGTCGTGACGAAGTTTCTGTATGTTTTTTTAATATGACTAGGGTTTATTACCTTTTCACAGAAAATAATTTCCGTCAAAAGACTTCAGGGATTTCTATAATTAAAGTGATTCTTTAGGTGTGTTTTAAATCTCTGCACGCAATAGATTTATTTTCTATACTCTTATTTCTGTTAGAATTATTTTGCAAGAAAACACTTTCTATTTACTTTAGAAACTGTGAGGTGTTAATCAGTTGATAAAGTTGTCCATTAATTCTCTCATGTGGTATCTAAGGGCGTTTGTTCGCCCACGTAATACGAACTTTTATTAGCGCATTACTTATCTAGTTAACAAATATTAGTTGATCAATGAAACGCTCTTAAGTGAGCTTTATCGCACGTTGTTACCTTCAATGTGATTGGGTTTTAACTGGCCATCTATTAATTTAGAACAGCCTGTTATATTCTGCTTCAGCATAACCTTGTACTCAAAGTGTACGTAGTTACAAATAAGTAAACTGTATATAGCGATGTACATCGTTGAGTAAATAGCAAAGCAACTGCTGGATTTGCTTGTATAACTAAATGGAACAATGCGACAGTGTATCTTTGACAAACAATTCCCGTTTGAATGTTTGATTCAAGCCTCAATCCTTAAAGTCTATCGTAAAATTAGGGTTATTTTAAGTAAACTAATTGACTCAGAAATACTGTACCGATCAATAAGTTTTCCCACGTCGTTTTGAAATACAGAACTTTCTGATGTTACGCAATATGTGAAAATGTGTATATTTAGATTTCACATTGTGTATCGTATAGTTTGATCTGTAGCATTCTAAGTATGTACAGGTTCTTACACACTTTACCGAATTCTCGTTGGTTGTCAAATTAATTATAATATGTAACATTCAGACCTACATAACGACAGTTCAAGAAATGTTAGAGCAATTTATAGTGATAAAAAATGAATTGCTTTCCCAGGCTTTATTTAATAAGTTTTTATACCTAAGATGAATCAAATTGTTTCATGTTACAGTTACTGCCTTGTCCAGGCTATATGTAGGAGTTTAAAAAAACGACCTTTATACTTCAGATATATATATATATATATATATATATATATTTTGCTTATTTTAACCAACGTTTCGCCTTTGCTGCTTCCTGAGGGTAAATATACACAAGTGTTTGATATTAGAATATTCGTAGGCGTATAGGATGCGATAAATTCAAACTTGCTTCAATGCTTTTGAATTTAGAAATAAAATAAAAAACAAACCAATTACCTATTTTCTCCACAAAATTAGAAAATAAGATTACTAAGTGAAAGTAAATACTGCAAATATATATTTAAAATACTAACAAATATGCTACAAAAAGAATAAGTTACTTAAAACAACAAAATAAAGAAGAAGAAATTCCTCTTGAAATAACTTCATAAGTATGAAGATTTGTTTGTTTGTTTGTTTTGGAATTTCGCGCAAAGCTACACGAGGGCTATCTGCGCTAGCCGTCCCTAATTTAGCAGTGTAAGACTAGAGGGAAGGGAAGTCATCACCACCCACCGCCAACTCTTGAGCTACTCTTTTACCAACGAATAGTGGGATTGACCGTCACATTATAACGCCCCCACGGCTGAAAGGGCGAGCATGTTTGGTGTGACGGGGATTCGAAACCGCGACCCTCAGATTGCGAGTCGAGTGCCGTAACCACCTGGCCATGCCGGGCCAAGTATGAAGATAATGTTATACCATGTCTACATACTCAAAGTAAGCTTAATCCAAGTTAAGCGATCTCTTCACATGGTATCAGATTTTTCTAGCGCACCTTCCTGTAGCTCCTACTTCCGTTTCCGTTGAATAAAGCCTTGACGATATATCAACAGCAGCAAGAGAATACGTGCGAAAAGGATATTACCTGTCGACTGATAAACAAAATTTAAATGAAGATCTAGAAAAGTTGATAAAGATAAATTGTATTTTACTAGATTACACTTACACACAATCCATCTCTAATCAATACGACAATGGTGACTGCGCTTGTGGGAAAGGTTTCAGATAATGAAGTACATACAGTTTTCCAGTACAGGGAACTAATTGAAGGAAGGACATTAATTTACTTCCTTTCAAATGAAATGCGTATTATCATTGTCTTCATCTTTATATTTAGTCCTTACAGAAGCAGACAAAATAAAGGTGTAGAAGGATGAAGATTTCGTCATTTGAAAAGCTGGATGATGATGACCGAATCTGCAAAGTATAGAAGGCAACATTAAAATATATACAGCTGATTACATAAAACGAAGTGAACTTTGTGCATACAGAAGTAGATAGAAATGTTAATCTGCACATTGTTTGCACACCATCATTCAGTGTTTAAATATTTATATCCACAGTATCTTGTAAATATAGTGAATGATCAATGACGTACTTTTGTTCATACCGAAAAGTAAACCCTTTGTCATACAGCTAAGGATAACTATGTCGTTGAGATCTTTAAAATCATTCTGAAGACTGAATATACAACATATACCAAATAGAACTGACGGAGATTGCTTATAGATTATGAACGTGCGTTGATGTTTTCTAGCAAACCAACAAAGCCCTCAAATTAGTAGAATCAAATTATTATTTTTTGTTATAAAAAGCAATATTTTCTTATAGTTTAAAGGTATAGTGTACGATTTATTTGGCTGGTTATGACATTAACATACCTATGATCGTACATCAGAGTTAGGCTTATACTAATTCGAATCATATCAGTTTGTTTCATAGAAATGTGTGTGTTTTCTTATAGCAAAGCCACATCGGGCTCTCTGCTGTGTCCACCGAGGGGAATCGAACCCGTGATTTTAGCGTTGTAAACCCGAAGACTTACCACTGTCCCACCGGGTGATTCATAGAAATGACCTCATTAACTTATACGTTATAGTTAGGCTTCCTTTCATTGGAAGCTTTTAATAATTTTTTACTAAACAAAAGATAATAGATGCAGTCAATCGTTTTTTGTTTTTGTAAAAATGCAATCATTTTCAATACACTCAAACTTAGACAAAATTAAAACATTTCAACATATAAAATGTAGCTTTAAATTCCTATAGACTAAAATATAAAATCAGCAAAATTGATTTAATTAATTAAAATTTTAAACGCATTTAATCTTAGAATAGTTAACAAAATTAATAAAAAAAACCTGAATATCATATAGTATTTAGATGAATATTCAGTGGTATCTGAGTTATCTGTTTTTATTTAGTGGATTTAATGGATTTATTATTTTGCTCTTTTATATTTTGAGCTTTTTGTAATATAAGAGTATTACATGGTAGGCACTGTATTACTCGACTGTTGGAGTGATCGTGTGTAACGTGTAATATTGGGATGACAGTACAATATGATGGACACTGCATTACTCGACTGTTGGAGTGATCGTGTGTAACGTGTAATATTGGGATGACAGTACTATATGATGGACACTGCATTACTCGACTGTTGGAGTGTTCGTGTGCAACGTGTAATATTGGGATGACAGTACTATATGATGGACACTGCATTACTCGACTGTTGGAGTGATCGTGTGTAACGTGTAATATTGGGATGACAGTACTATATGATGGACACTGCTATTACTCGACTGTTGGAGTGATCGTGTGTAACGTGTAATATTGGGATGACAGTACTATATGATGGACACTGTATTACTCGACTGTTGGAGTGATCGTGTGTAACGTGTAATATTGAGATGACAGTACTATATGATGGACACTGCATTACTCGACTGTTGGAGTGATCGTGTGTAACGTGTAATATTGGGATGACAATACTATATGGGGGGGGGCGTGGCACAGCGGTATGTCTGCGGACTTACAACGCTAGAATCCGGGTTTCGATACCCGTGGTGGGCAGAGCACAGATAGCCCATTGTGTAGCTTTGTGCTTAATTACAAACAAACT